AGGAAATACTGGTTTCATTTCCTTTACATTGGATCTCCTCTCTCCACATTTGCTCACTGTCCCCCTTCCCAAATGCAGCCCCCCCCAGCACCTCCACTGGGATCCCACAGCCCAGCTGTCGACACACAACCTCTGCGTCCTGCAGGTCAAAGTCAGCATCACACACGGTGCCCCAGGTATCAATCTGCTCTATCTCCACTCTCCCGGAGCACAGGTGTGGACCTTGTGCCAGCCTGACTCCGCGGTGACCTGGGGTTTAAGAGAAACCAGTGATAAGAAGGATACTTACTAAATAAATCATACAACAAAATTATCTGTATACATTTCTGGAATGGGCAATGTTGTTGTGGCATGGTTTAACCCATAGGTTTGCAATTTTGGGGATATTCCCATGGGAACAGATCTTGTAAGAATACATAACTTCTATTATATTAACCATATACAGAAAGTTTAGCACGTTGCACTGATAATACATATATAATCCGCACAAAGTTATACATAAATGTAACTGCTAGTGTCATGTAAGATTATATTTTACACCTGCATGAATCATATATGTAAGGGAGAGGGTGTTTTTTTAACATTGGATTGTCCAATATTCCAAAATACATAACAGGCATGATATGAACTAAATTTGCTTTTTGTAGTTTTGTCTTGCAACTGAAGAAAAATTTTAGTAGGTAACAGTGGTCTGTGTGTGACAGAGTGACCACCTAATCCAAGTCAGGAAGGGCACCTTGAACATATGTTATTTTTGGGTTTTTCTTTTTGTGGGTGGTGTGTGTTTTTGTTTTACCCAGGCAGTGTCATGGACAGCTATGCAGGACATTGCAGTATGCTCCTGGCCGTGATTGGTTGGGGCATGGTGATGGACAGGGGAAGGGGCGGTCCTTGGAGTATTTAAGATGGCCGCCAGTGTCACCTGGTGCCAGGTTTCCAAGCCGCAAAGGGTGGATATTGGCCACTCTGGAGCGGTGGCCATTTGGTGCTTAATTGTGTGTATGTGTGTATGTATGTGTGTGTGTGTGTATGTGTGTGTGTATGTGTATGTGTGTGTTGGGATGCCACTGCATCACAGAGGAGTGAGGGAGATGGTTGCCAGGAGGAAATGCAGCGTGGACAAGGAGGATTAGATCCGGATGCTCTGCGCTCGTTCATCAGTGTGGAGCAATGTGGACAGCAGTGAGAGAGGCTCAAGTGGTGGCCGGCAAGAAGGACGACGCTGGAGAGGAAGAGAGACGGCCAGAATGTTCAGCCCCCCCAAGTCAGCTCAAAGGGAAGTGGCTAAGCTCAATTGAGTGTGTGTGGCATAGCTAGTCAGGCTGAGTTGCAGGGTTGGGGGAAATCTGAGCCGTCTTCTGCTCTCTCACAACATCGAGGAGGATGTGGAGCGGAGCAGAGCAACGGAGCTAACGACGTCGCGGGGGCATCCGTGGAAGCTGAGGCAACGTCGTTGAGTAGGACGACACCACACAGTGCAATATGGGTCTGGATTTATTGAGCGACTGAGGGGAGGCACTGGGAGTTGCCAGGACCATGCGGACACTGCCTGGGGGGGACATTGGATGATTATTTTTGGTTTATTTTGATTTGTTGTTTTTGGGGGGCATGCAGCGTAGTTGTGGCCTGGAACTGATTTTCTTTTTTTATTTAAAAATATCTATTGTTTGTGGGGCACAGCCTCATCTGATTACTCCCCCTAAGGTCACCTAGTGTGTAATTAGGTTTGCGGTGCCGAGTGGGGTGTCTACTGGTTGTTGTGGTATAAGTGGGTTAAGTAAAATCTGTTGGCAAAAATAAAAGGTGGAGTTGTGGAGGGGTCTTTCACCCTAGGCCACCACATTATCAAAAAAGCACACTTACAGAGAAACACTTCTGAAACATAAGTTGTGAATCATGTATGTGTGGTAGTAACGAGTTACATGTAACGGCGTTACATAACTTAATTACAAAAAATGTAATATAATCCGTTACAGTTGCTAGAGAAATATTCATGATTACAATTTTAGTTACATCATAAGATTGTATGCAAAACATTGCCAATATCTTTAATAACAGTATTTTTATTGCTTTTCATGTTTTCTTATGCAAAACATTGCTATTTCTCTCCACAGCCGAAAGTTTGAAACTATTCGATGCTTCTGATTGGTTATCCTGTCGCGTCTATATTTGCNTTTTCTTATGCAAAACATTGCTATTTCTCTCCACAGCCGAAAGTTTGAAACTATTCGATGCTTCTGATTGGTTATCCTGTCGCGTCTATATTTGCAGCCAATTCTGCTAATTATCTTGCCGGAGCGGTCTGAGTTTCTGTTGCAGGCAATAGCAGACAAGGTAAGGAATACATTCCATTGCTGGAAATATAAAAAACATTTCCGATATATTATGAAAAAAGGCACAAATTTTACTGTGCAATGCAGTGCGTGTTTCCCGGCTGTATAAATGTTGTCAACACCTAAACAGTCCATGTCCAACCTGAGGAAACACCTAGAGGTAAGTGCAGCTTATTGTAACTGCAAACAGTCATATTAATCAAGGCAGGGAAGACATGCCTACCTTCAGCGTGCCACACCATGCTTCTAAAGATTAATGCCCGGTACACACTGTATGATTTCAGCAATCTTATAAAATCATTGCCGATCACACTGTGCTATACGGATCTAATAATCTTGGCTATGACAGGTATGCAGACTACGATGACAACACCAACTCAATCATAAGATACGGCGCATAGGACAACAAAACAAAATGTAAACACTGACAGCATGAGTAAATACCACGATGAACTGCGAAGTGTGTACAGCGCTTTAAAGCCACACTGGCACTTCTGATCCCGTTGACAGAAAATGTGCCGTTCTGACAAAACATCCTACCTATCGAGACGTGCAATCGAGCCTTTCTGCGCATGTGCAGTTCCACCGTTTTGGGATTAGGGTTAGGTTTTAGGGGTTAGGGTTAAGGTAAGAGTTTTAGGGGTTTTTGGGGGGTTAGGGTTAGGGTAAGAGTTAGGGCTATCGATTAGCACTACGGTAGGATGTTTTGATAAAGCAGGAGTCCTACTGTAGGACATTTTGTCAGAACACCGTCCTTCAGTATGCTAAGGTTATTGGTAATTATGTTAGGTCTGATATTAGCACTCCCGACATGATGCTATGTCGTGTTGAGTTTTGAAAATTCTCTAACTAGTATTATTACACGGCTCTCTGGAATGCTTGATTCTGATTGGTCAGTTGAGACATTTGGAGGTTCGTTCTTTTCAAATAACCGCTCCAAAATAATAACGCATAGCCGGTACTACTTGTATGTTTAAAATCCCTCCGCGCCAACAAAGACTACCGTTTAAAAATGTTAATTTA